GCCTGAACATCACGAATCATCGAAAACGAAATATCTCAATCAGGTCAGATTTCAAACAATAAGTAACGCATAATAATCGATGCAGAACCTACGATGCCATACCAGATATACAGACAGACACGTCAAACTTATAACACCTCTGTTTTTACGTCGTTATTTTAAACATTTAAAATATTATAATAAAATAACCTTAACGGTTGTGTGTATCTTTTATTGATTGACATAATTAAAGTAAAGTAACAGCCTATACATGTCCCACTGCTGGGCAAAGGCCTCCTCTGTACAGAGGGTATCAGGGCATAGTCCACCACGCGGCCCCACTGCGGATTGGCGGACTTCACATATCTTCGAAAAATATTTTTTTTTGTTATTATTTCGAAAATATGCAGGTTTTCACACCGATGTTTTCCTTCACCGCGGAGCACGTGATAAGTCAGCACTTAAAGTTAAAAACTTCCATTGGTGCCGGCAACGGGGATCGAACTCAGGTTGCTCGAGTATATTGAATTAAAGGCGAGCGCCCGGACACTGAGCTACCACGGCTTTCAGATTGACATAATTGTCATGTGCGAATTAAGAGTGTGGTTGCTGCTGTGCCATTTGAAAACCTTCATTTCTTGTTTTATAAGTACACAACAAGGATTCACATATTTCATCTATAAAGGGGTAGATAGAGATAAATAATGACAAACATTTAACCGAGCGTCAAGTGACCCTCCGCAAGTGTTGATTGATCCCGAATCAATTGATATTTTCGGGAAAGGGAAAAATCTTTGGTGTAAGGTAAACGCGTTTGCCCTGCCATTTAACTTTTTAAAATGTTAGGTATATATTTTTTAAAACATTGCCCTCACTGTAGGATAACATTATCCTATGTTAGAAGGAATTTGTCTATATTCATAAATTCCACGTGGACAAAACCCCGATGCGAATCAGGTATCTATGGATCGCACTAACATCTGTCCCCTGTGGGAATCAAACCCACGACCCCAACGCTGAAGCCAATGCCTTAGCAACAGCGCCACGTAGTCACCTCAAAGATAGACCTAAGGATTCATAAAGAACACTTTGTCACCGGGACGGCCGCGAATACTTTTATGTGGGAGATTAAACAAAGACCGAGCGCATCATCAGCGGTTAATTTTAACGATAAATCGATGATTCACATTGCGATCAAACGAGCCCCCATCGGTCACGCCATGCGCGCCATAAACAGTCTCGATTAGCTCCGTTCAATGGCGTCGGATCACGTCGGCGCCTTATTAATGCGCTTCGGTAGCGTGACGGGCGGGCCCGCTTGCTCACAAAGCGCTTTAGTCACGTCAGCGTCATCACGTTGCTTTTTTGTTGTCTTTAGTACCGCGCGGATGTTTCTGGCTGTAAAGCACGTCGAGCTGTATGCGCTCTCATTTAAAAAGAAATGTATTATTTGTGTGTTCAAAGATATCGTTTGATCGACTGTGCTATCAATGATCATCGTTATTTCACGGGGTGGAATGTTGAAATTGTTAGTTCTATAACTTATTAATGTGGTGGTTGACACTCGGCAGCTTCTGCCGTGCGTCATTAGGACAGTTTGGATTTTAACGGTGGTAGGACCACGCAACAGTGTTCTGACGGGTGTTGCAGATGCCCATGGGCGGCGGTTACCACCGAACTTCAGATTAAACGTCGGCTCGCTTTTCACATAAAAAATAAAAACTGATCCGGCGTCCCTCGCGAATGGCGGTAAACCGAACGGAACAACTAGTTTCATGAACCATGCTGTAGGCGGTTTATTTTGAATGTTTCGGATTGTTTAATATGACGAGACACTAAGATGTTTTTAAAAAAAAATGTCTAATGTTATGTGAAAAATAAAAATAATTAAAAGGAACCGGCCAAGTATGAGTCGGACTTACTTTAAAGACGCCAAAAAAAAAACCATGTCTATTGTATGGGAGCCCCACTTAATATTGGAATTTTTAAAGAAAAAAAAAATCAACTTCACGTTAGTCATATGTGAAGCTGTAATCTTTACTTCGAAGAGTGTGCCCATTTTACACATTTATTTTCACAAAAAGTGACCATTGGAACAGTGGAAACTGTTGTAATCTGTGTAAAACTGTTGAATAACATAACATATTCGAGATATCTTAAAGCACAGTGTGGTCCTTGTGATTTTTTAATATATTGACAGGTGTGTTTAAACAGTAAGCGGTAATTTTCATTTCAATTTTGTAACCGTCATGATTTTTAGAAAACATTAATTTCTTTGGTTATTAAAAAAATTGTCTCTTGCGATAACGTATTAACGATTGTGTGTAGAAGTTGTTTTTTGACAAATCACAATTAGTGCTCTATTTATTCCATTATGAATTTTATTTCGATTATTGCTGGAATTTGTGTTGTGTTCAACGTTACTTATAAAGGCCGTTTGTGTTTCTGTTGTTTATTTCACGCAACCACCAAATTCTAATAATAACGCAAACCCTTTGATGCCTATTGTCTCTGTGAATTCTACGTTTCTTAGAATTTAACTCCTTTGAAGCGATCGGTTCCGATTTCTAAATCGTTCATTTCCTCATGCTTTGAAATCAAACTTTTATAGGTGTTTCTGTCCAATATGAAATTATACGTGTACCAGTTGGGTTGCGTGGTGGAGTATGCCCTAATATATATTGTATAATATGTAGTGTGTACAGAGGATTTGCTCAGCAGTGTATATAGGCCCCTACTTAACTTTTTTTAACCAGTTGTTAAAAAGGGTCGCTATTAAGATTAAGGTACTGGGAATTGTTATTTGGTGCTCACGAGGAAGAAAGTGTTGTTTTAGAATTAAATACATATTAAGTTACAAGCAACTCAAATTTTCGTCATACAGACATATAATCACATATATTTAAGTTACAAAAATTTCTTAAATACGGTATCAAAGGTCAGTGGCCTTCTTTATACTGATCCGTCTATAAATAATTTACCTCATTTAAATTTGATATTAATTGAATTTATGGCCATATTGTTGCAACTTGCCGTGATTGAAATAAACAAAACGGTCATATATATTCGCACAAGAATGATCACATAAACGTGCCTATTTATCTAAATTTTGCAATGGCACCTATATCGCCTTATTGATATGTGACATGATTCTTCATGTTTTTACTCAACTGCCGACGGAGGGTTATGTTTGTTTTCGAGTGTATCTATGCATGTATGTATGTATAATTCATTTAAACGCTCGACAATCGTTAAATCTTTTGTCTTATTTTAACACGAGGTGTCCCTATTCGTCTCAGTTGTGTGAATTTCGTAGAATGAACTCTTTCAATATGATTTATGCAAGAAAATAGAGGAATAAGCAAAAAGGACACTTATTCTTAATGCAGTTGGGTTTTTTGTGTCATTTAATAATCTGTGCCTGGTTATTTGTATCCTGTTCCATTGAATCCATTGAAATCTATCTATTGTCTCTAAACCTGTTAGAGTCCAGTCCAATAAGTTCGTCGTGTCGCAACAGGCTTTTGTGTTGGAAATAGAGCATTCGTTGGCCGGCTGCTACCAATTTACCCCTCATCCGCGACTCGATATTGAATTACTTGATCCGCTCGGGCAGTTGTGTATGGCCCAAAGGATCTAAATATCTTCATACTATTTGTTCATATTGCAATGGAAGGGTGAATAGGATTGAAAGAGTCTTTTTTTGTCAAAGCGCGTTTAAGAATAATGGAAAATAATGATGTTCTTGGTACTTAGCACGTAACCTTCCGAGCAACGAACGTTAAGATTAATCAATTTTTACTCGTCAGTAGCTTAGTTACAGTCTTATGATTAAGATTACAATTTTATTTATTTTTTAATTTTACTATAGAAGTAAAGAAATGTAACTTATTTTAAACAATGTGCTTGCATTAAAATTTATTTGCATTTATCGAAATCGCCCGACACTCAGTCGCTGGAGTTTTCTTCTTGGGCCGCACACTGTCCCTTGTCACCATTCAAATTCCCAATTACGCAATTGTGGGCACTTATCTCGTTTGCGCGATGACAATAAAGAAGAGCCGATACTTCTCAGCTCTTCGATCGAAGAAAACCACCTCAATTGACCGAATAAGAGTGTTTTTATGACACTGTGGTAGGGCCACGCAACAGCATCAGCTGTAAGTGGGCAGGTCCGTCCGGGTAAGTACCACGACCTCACAGAAGACCGGCGTGAAGTAGAAGTGTTATACTTCTGCGTTTCATCTGGTGAGTGGGGTAGCCGAGGCTCACTCACAAAAGGCTTCTGCAACCCTACGGGTGTTGCAAATATCAATGAGCGGTGGTTATCACTTAACATCAGGTGAACCGCCTGCTCGCTTGCCAAGTTCTCCCATCAAACAAACTGAATGGCGTCGAGTGCAGAGGTGCAGTTGCTAAGTTATTGGCCTCGGTGCCCCGGGGTCATGGGTTAGATTCCCACTCGGGACAGGTATTTGTGCGACCCGCCAATATTTCATCCGGATATGGGTGTACATTTCCAAGAAAGGTTGTCAGGTAGGCGGCCGGTCGTAATAAACCCAGCTAATATTATTAACACCCTGAACCACATTTTGTGCCGACCTCACCTAGGTGGAATATGGGCAGAAGAAAGTAGAAGAAGACTGAATGATGTCGAGTGGCTGATATTACTCTTCAGATTTATAAGAAAGGATGAATGAAAGTAGACTGATGAAATAAGTTCTGGTTAAAATTTTTAAGGAACAAGAAGTCCGTAGACAGGGAAATGTTTATAAAAAAATATATTTACAAAATAGTCAACAACACTGAAAATGCGATACGATGAGCCTGTAACGAATATGAATTAATGTAAAGTGAATTTCGGCGAATTATCTACCCATGCGAAGACTATACTAGACTTACCAATCCGGATGACACGAGTGTACTTTTTGTTGTATCGACTCCATCCTATAGAATGTTCATGACTCGATTTATCATCGAGCTAATTCGTTCGAAAACTGAGGCCGTACTTGCATTTGCAGCCCACACCCCCCAAGAAACCCCCCAGACGCAACCTGTCAGTGTCCCCCACCCACGCAAACTCCCCCTCATCAGGGTACAGCTACGAGCTGAGGGCGCACGCGAGGAGTCAAGACGATCTGGACGAGATACAGGTAAAGGCATCGTGAGAACTAAATCAGTTCCATCTGAAGGCACCCTGTTACTAGCAAATGAAACTCGATAGCTTGTTAACCTACGTATCCTGCAAATATAGGGAAACATGCACCAGTAAATAGATTAATGGTACCGATAAACATTTTGCAAGATTGACCTCGATGCAGACATATTCGCCACTAGTTTGGAAAGATTTTGAAGAGATTGTCAATGTTGTTAGTCGTACCATAAATAAATCTATAAAAATGCTGTGTCTGCCTGTCATTTCGATTGATATATATGTATAAGTAAATTTTAATGTGTTAGTTTGTATATGTCAATTTAGTTGGTAGACCCTAATAAAATAAAAATAAATCTGCAATATTCTGTAGCGGAAATTCTAAATGTTTGATAAGAAGGGGAAATTTTGTTCACAACGGCTTAAAATTAAAGTCTAACTCGTAATGATAAATCAGTTTGGAATCATATAAAAACTTTTGTTGACTCCATCCCTACGATATCGTGTGAGCGTTTTAAACGTAATCAGAATCACTTTTGCTTCTTCAGGGTCCAATTAATTTGTTAAATAATGTTTAATTAATGATACTGCTGTTTTCGCTTTAGTTACCGTAGGTACTTCGATGTTTAATTCGATCCCATCATTATTATTTATAACAAACTTCATTTGGATATTATAGTCCTTTGCTATATTAAATAAATTGTGCATTTTGGAAAGTTAAAAATGCCAGGATAATGTTTCTACTTTTAAAACTGTTCTCTTGTGTCTTGTAAGTGATTATAAAGTGTGTAATACCTTTTATTCATTTAACATCTCTCGACTCGTGTTTAGACTTTTATACATCTAACATTTGCTTCAAACTTTGACTGGCAACCTCTAAAGCGATACGTCGAATATGAAAGTTGCCAATGCTGAAACTAGGGACGAGACCACAGTTATCGAATATCATATAAATACTACCACTTACGTTTTTAAAAACGCTGTATGAACTGATACGCAAATATAAGATGAAAGTATTTTGCAGCTGGTTTCGGGATTTTCTTTCTATAAAGACCCGAATATCGTACAGCAAAGCGCACTTTAGTTAGAATAGACCGTTGTTAACAGAACCTGCTTCTAGGAGCTGGTTTTGAACCTGGTTCCGCGTGCACTACCAGCGTAACTATCACGTAAAATATGTAGGTTATGACGAAGTGAACTCGGAATTTCTAATCTTAGAATATAGTACAGAGTTCCCCAAACTTTTTTGTGTCGTAGACCCCTTGCCATGTTTATCCTTGTTGGGTAGACCCCCTACTTACCTGATATTGATTTCCTGTAAATTTCTAACTGTAATGAAGTTTAGTGTTAAAAACTTAAAGTAAAAACATTTGTTAATTTATACATTTATATTAATTGAATTTAAATTAAAACTACTCAAAATAAAATTTTGTATCTGTTATGTAAAATATACGTAACATTAAAAAAAACATAAAATATTATAAGATAGTACGATATAAGTAAATAGGTACTATCAGTGTTTGTGTTGAGATCCACTATCGTGGACCCCCATTTTCATTTCATGGAGCCCCAAATTTTTTTTCGCTGACGTAGACCTCTTGCAGGTTGTCATAGCCCCCTACGAGTCGATATAGACCACTTTGGGAATCACTGATATAGTCGAAATAGCACATAAATTATTACGTACTATTTGCTGCCCGCGACTACGTCTGTGTAGAATAGGCTGAAGGCGTAACATTCAGCCAGAAAGACAGATATACATTAAAATATGTATATAAATTATATCCTATGTGTTATTCTGATGTATACGCTATATTATTGTAAAGTTTCATTAGAATCCATTCAGTAGTATTTGCGTGAAAGAGTAACAAACATCCATCCATACACACAAAATTTCGCGTTTATAATATTATTAATGATTGCATCTGTGAACTGAGTAGAGTTGAATACAAAGTGGGAGATGTGTGAACCAATTTTTTTTTATTTAAGAAGCTTGCAAACTAGCTCGTGGTTCACCGCTCACCGTGCATCGCTCGTGGTGGATATTAAGTGATAAACGCCGCCCATTGACATTTGCAACACCCGGTCGTAGATGCCTTGCTACCCTATTATAAATTGTACCCCCGACTACCTCACGAAACGTAGAAGTATAACACTTCCTCATCACTCCGGTCTTCTATGTTGTCGTGGTACCCGGTCGGATCTGCCCATTCGTGAAACAGCGAAAGCTGTTGCGTGGCCCTAGCACAGTAAAATAATTGACAACCAGAATTTGAATTAGCCTTTCGCCGGAGTAGACTGACCGGTGCATTTGGTTTCAGGGTGCCAAACACCACCTCAAGCACGGGCGCTCGGTAGACCAGTACGTTGACGGTAAACTGTCTTACGCGGAATACGAGGAGAATCACAACTCGCCGCGGGCCGTACCCGTGCCTAATCCGCGGCCCAGTCTCAAGCACCGCTCGCAGCCTGTCGCCATCACGGCTATGTACGAGAATGTCGTGATAAAAGAGCAGAATCCGAGACGGAAGCTGAGACGGAACAATTTCGCGCCGCCTTACGAGAACGTGGAGCTTCGCAGGGGCGACGGCAGAGCGAACAGAGGCCAGGAGAGGTCGTCGCTAGAGAGCTTGCTGGACGACCAGTCGGCGAACAGTCCGAGCGAATGTGACCGCTACTACGATAGGCACAAAGCGCACATTCCCCTGTCGCCGACCCACTACGAGCAACCGCCGACGCCCGACCACCCGCCGCCGTCAGCGAAACAGGCGGAGAACAGCATACACGAACGGATCAGGCCCTTGAGCCAGGTTAGTCCCGACTGATGTTGTCAGCACACGATTTTTTCAGTAGTCACATATAGCAGTAGTTATCTTTAGTTCTATTTTCGTATGCATTTATAAAAGTATGTAAGTATTATTCAACTGGATATGGTCGTATTTCAGAATTGTAAAACTAGAGCTATATAGATTGGACGTCCAATGCACGCATTATTTAAAATACTAATGATATCTATTATCTATATCGTATTACTATAATATCACTTATATCAGGATTGTATAATGAAATTATTTTTACGGATTTCATAGCGTCTTGTTTGCACTTGAATTCCCGACGTCTGTGTACACTGCAGCGTTCGTGGCCAAGGGACCAATAAATTTAAATCAGTCGCTATAGAAACCGTAATAATAGTTACGCGTGACAATATGCGGTGTTCGCGTTTCTACCAGGAAACTAGGAACCGTGAGTTAGGATTACTAAAACGCATGCAGAACTAACCAGTACCGAACTGACCGATGCAATCTTTCAAGTGCGTTTTAAATATTTCAGCTGATTATGGAGGTTGTCGAAGAGATAAGGATTAGGAAAAAGTCGCAGGGCGATGTCACAAGTAGTTAGTGTGCAAAACTAAACTACGCGAAATGTTTTGTAGCCGCCTCTCTAGACTTAAGCGTGGTGCTCTGTTCCGACTAAATGATGTTTCGCAATTGTAAAGCTCAGTATGTATATAGATCCTATGTGTTAAGGTGCTATTTGATTAGTATTATTGTTTCCTAATTATACTTAGATATAAATACCATAGCAATAAATATTATTAGGGTTTACTAAGCCTGTGAAAATTTTAATGGATTCCAAAAGATATCGATATTCTTATGTAGCAGTATTTTGATGTTACCTTTATCACACAGGTAAGCGTTAAAACTTTCATTGAAATTTTAAATTGTTCTTGTTTTTACTTATAACCTTTATCGGGATTATCCAATGAAATTGTTGGAAACACGTTTAAAAAGTGTTTTATGAAATTTTCTTGCGTTCAACATTCGACAAGTTTGTTCTTTGATATTTCGTTTCCTAAGATACCTATAAAGGCCATCTCTATATGCATTTCGGATATTGGTCCGTTTTTATTATTACTGTAAGTACGTTTGTATTCAAACGAGCGATCGCTAGTGTAGAAAAAGTAGACTATTCCGTGCTTATCGTTCGCGTGAATAGTCTAGTTTTTAGTATTCATGTTTTTCGTTCCATTGTTATTTCGCATTACCAACATGACAGTATCAAGAATAATTTTAGGTGCTAACTATGTGATTTTATTGATTGGATTAAATGTTATAACGAATTGTACAACGTACGTATAGTCTTTGCGTTGTATTTAATGGAATTTGCAGACTGAAAATACATAATTATATTAAGTGAACGTCAGGCTCTTTTATGTTTTATCTAGTTGTTTTACAGCGTCAATTGTATTATTTTCGATTTTATTTAGTTTATTATTTCAATAAAATTATGTTATTTGTCATTTATGTTGTTTTATTTTGTTTATTTTCTTTGGTTTTATTGTTTTCTTTAGTTTTATTTTTATTTGTTTATATCGAAGGAAGATTTCTTCCACAGCTGCGAATAAATCTTGATACATTTTACTTGTTTCTTTTTATTATATATTGGATATATTCTATGGATTTTTTAATATGAGGTATTTGTAAAATAAGTATCTACTACAAGCGCATCTACCTTACTTTTTGTTGGAAGAGAATTGTTATGTTTGTAAAATAAAAGTTACATATGAAGTTATTCAATAAAAATAGGATTATTAAAGACTCGCCGTGTATTAAACTTCTCTTTGTACTCTGATTATGAATAACTCAGTGTGGTCAGGTAGGCCACGTACCAACCTGTAGCTGTTGAACAAATCGCTCGTTCGGAGGGAACTATAAGCTTCGCAAGCGAGTGAGGTAATCGGCGCAAAGTCTTTAAGTTTGGCAACACATCAGCAACCCGGCTGCAGTAGATGTTCAAGGGCGGCGATAATCATTTGACGTCAGTCAAATCCCTTATTGGCTTGCCATCTTCTCACGTGAAATATTTTTTTTCATGAATTTTTTAATGTTGAAGTACTGAATACGTTTTGAAGTGCAGTTTCATAAGCATTAGAAACACCATTCAGAGCCCACGTCTCGTACAGATTGTCCTGAAACTGTGTCTGTCCTGAGAAAGTAGTCATAACTTACTTATATCAGTTTCTGGCAATTGTGATGCAAAAGTATTATCAATTTTACTATTATTTCATGAATTATCTGCTCCATGCGTTAAAAAGTGCAAATAATTTGATAAAGCCCACGTAAACGTATTTTAATTTTTATTAATTTATCTCATTATAAGTGAGAAGTGGTTATTATTAATTATTTAATTTTAAAACTCTATCGGTAAGTCGATTTATATTAAATAAAGTTTAAAATTTGACCCAGGCAGCTTAAAGTTTGACAACCATAGCGTTTTTTTTGTAATATATAAAGTAAACTAATAGATAAAGTAAACTAGAATAATGATTTGTATGTGCTACTTATGAACATTTTAATTTTTATTAGATGATTGGTGTTATAAATTGCGGTAAGTAATACTAATAATATACTATGAATTAAAACAGTATTCTTCCGTCCAAGATAAGAGTCATATTTTTATATGTAAATTAAGCTCAAAAGTATTAAATATTTAAAGGGATTTTTAAGACAACAAAACCGTACAATTGCTCTAGTTTCCCGTGAGGCGCTTTTGACGTAAACTTCAACGTCCAATGAGTATTAAAACAAAATAAGTACATATTGTGCTGAACACAGACATTGTAACATAATGTTATAAATGTTTATTTTATTTTTCTCGACTATGAATAGTTTTTCTTTTTTGTTTTGCTATTTCCAATATCTTTGTTACCAATTTTTCACTTTTGTGTTGCCGACCTGATGTATATCGTAAACGATTATAAAAGTAAAAATAATGTCAATAAGAATTTATTATCTTCCACCACATACATACACAGCCGTTGAATCAAAAATGAGATTTAATTGGGAATGAATTAGAATTGCAATGGAAAAATATAAAATTCAATACCAAATAGTAAAAATGTAGAGTTAATTTTTCTTTCTCCTGCTTTGATTCCTGCCTTGGTGAATTGGGTCTATTATGTGAACCGTGTTGTTAATTGTATTAGAGCGAAGAGGTCCAATGGTGACCTCAACTTTGTTATACGTAATTTTTTTTAAATTTAGCATTGGCCCCAACTGGTCATGTCATGGGTGTTGGAGTTTCAGGAATATTCTCTCTATCATCGGAGAATGGAACTTAAAACGATTAAAATGTGATCCATTAATTTAATTTTATCCACCGTTATAATATCGTGCATTTCGTTAGTTTTATTACAGGCGCAGAGAACGTACGTGACTTGTCACAGTTTTTATTAATTTAGTCAAAATCAAAATACACTATATTTTAATTTTGACTTATATCTCTTTTTTGATCTGATACAGAACATATAAATTGATAACAAACAAATTTGATAAATATACCTTTTTCGTAAGTACGATTAATATTTCCTTTACAAATAGCGCCTGATAAAAAATATGAGCAAACGCCTGATTTCTAATAAAAATAAAAATCATAATAATAATAGAATTGAAATCAGTGATTTTATAGAAACTATGTATAAATAAAAATGTGTAACCTAATGACGCGCACCGGATCACAAAATAAATAAGAGGAATAATTCATAGCAATGACTGTTTCAAATTATTTTGCTGTTTAGTAATATTGCAATCTTTGTCGAAAAGATGGTCAAGGTGCTCATTCAATACACTTACCAATCTTAAATAAATAGAATTAGGTATGTATGACGTCTTAATAAAATTAGATATCCTTCATTCGGTAGCTGACATATTTCTTTGGTAGTATAGGTGTGAGATAGATTTCACGGAAGTTTGCGTCTACGTGTTCCCGTGTCCCCGCCCGATGCGACACACCGCCTCCGGGACTCCCACATACCCCTACCACGCCCCCGATCCATTGGCAGGGGATCCATTAACGATTGGTCCCACGAAAAAAAAGGTGTGAGATAGACTGAGTTATATGGACAGACTCTCACGACCACCACGGACTTTTAGCAATGGCCTCCAAGTCCTCTCCGCAAGAGCCCATTAGAGCCAGGAGGGAATTTTTTTTCGCGTAAAGCTAAGAGTAGCGAGCCTCCCGGCCTCCGACTGTTGATGTGTTCTGTGGCTAGGCTACTCACCACGTGGTTGCAAGAGGTAGGGAGAGCGGCGCCTCGTAATAATTCTACTCCTTTCCCCCATGACACCACCACGGCAACATTAGTGGCGTAGCCCCACCATCGCGAAAGATAGGGGGAGTGGTGATACGCAATCGCTACAGCCGAGCGATATCTCCTCGGTTGCAAAGGACAGGGAGTGTGGCACCCCCTATATCACCCTAAACCGCTCAATCGAATCCCCTACGCGCCTTATACCACTGGCCTCATATAAATTTCCTCTGTGCTTTGCCGTGGTAAACCAAGCCACGACTGTTAAGCTTTTAATTAGGCGGGAACACGATCGAACACAGCAATGTAGTAAAGTTGGCATGGTAGCTAACTACCACTAAATTCATACAAAATTCCACGCACTGGACCCAGAAAATGTCGTTTAATTTCGTTCATTTTGGGTACAGCAATGGAATTCCGTAAAACTCCCACTTCATTTTTCCACTCCTACTTCATATTTCATCAGGTGAACAGTAGTTAAGCACTGGTCATTTTGTCACAAAAAGGTGCTTTAAAAGGAAATAACATGGCACCTTTATCTATGTAAGTCATAATTATGTTTATTAATGTGTGTAGAAAATCAATATGGGAAATTGGCCGTCGCAGACCTATTTAACTTAGATGGTTTTATTATCGTTAAATACAAACTCTCAACATAATAAATGACAAATTAAAATGTTTATAGTGCTAATCTCTGCACTTAATACTTTTTCCACAAAAAATTTAATATTAAATGACTTAAAAAACGGCAAATTATAAAAGGCATCTACCCACGACCTTGAACGCATGGCAGAAATTAATATTGTATATCTAACCTGTGTTTGTTCACGTGAAATTTATGTTTGTAAAACGCTCTTACAACACAGGATAATGTTATTTTACAGTAAGGGCAACATTTTTTAAAGAAATAAATCCTAACTATGACTAAATGCAAAAGTAGGATACATATTCCTATGTACGTCTTCGGTTTCTTGTGAAGATTTCGTGGTCGAGCCTGCCATTTCATTCTTGCACCAGCAGAAGCTGATGCGAGCTTCCTGCAAGAGTCATTGAGTCTTTAACTCTCCTTCTCCAATTTTGATTTCATTCAATCGAAAGCGGTGTATAGGTTTTATTTTGTACTAGCGACCAGCTCTGGCTACGCACGGGTGCAATGTATATAAATAAATATAAACCTTTCTCTTGAATCACTCTATGTATTTAAAAAAAACCGCATAAAGATCCGTTGCGTAGTTGTAAAGATCTAAGCATACATAGGGACAGTCAGACAGCGGGACGACTTTGCTTTATACTATGTAGTGATTTGGATTCGAGGTAAAAAGATTTCTCGAAATTTTTCTCGTCGTTAACAAAACTTGGTTTTCATGAACTCTCCTTCAATAATTCAATGTTCGTTCAAGAGAAGCAACAGCATAAACATTTATTTTTTAAAATTAACCGTTATAATTGTTATGAGAAATGATTTCACATAGGTACTAGCGCTTTTAATATATTTTTTTGCTGAAGACACATTTAAGAAAGAACTGCTCGAAACCCTCATTGTGAATTATTTCTACATCACAGAGCAATACAATGTAATAATCCTCAAAAGAGACAGAACAAATATCTTTCCAGATGTAAAATTTTAGCTCCGTACTATATTTAGTAGGTAGGGGAGACCGGGGTTGGTAGTCACATTTTTTACTTTGAATTTTTAAAGGCCTATATTATTGGCAATAATATAAAAATCAATGAAATTTATATCTCAATGGGTAGTGTATCTAATCTAGTTTCAAAATAAATTCATACTTTTTGACATTAACATTATCCACGGTGTAAATATTACATTTTTAAGAAAAAGGAAAAGTGTGACTTTTAACCCCATGTCAGGGATGGTTGTCACAGTGCCTGGGGTATATAGTATATCAAGGGAGGAAAATATGATAAAAAAATCATTAATTAAATCAAATGAGTATTTTTATTTGAAATAGAATCTTGAATTGGTATCCAAGAAAAGAATGTAAAATATTTTATTAATTATAACAAGAATAGTCAACAAATTCACTTATACATAACTTTCATTTAAGAAAATTTGAATTTTTGTTACGAAAACAACAAAAATGTAATCATAAACAGTCACTGATTTATTTGGACGTTATACTTTTAAATGAAAATATACGACGATATAATATGAAGTCAAGTCAATCTGAATATTCAGAATCACAATTTTGGCAAATGTAATAAGGTTTTCCAGATGTACATGCCTCATGAGCCCAAAACTTGCAATCCTGGTACTGCATCCAGACTCCCTTAGACTAGCTAGCAAAATATAATATAATAATATATAATATAATATGGAGATAATCAGACACTTTTCCATCTTCGTCATTGTCAACTGCTTTTAATTTAATGCTCTTTCTTTTAGTAGGCTTTTTATTATTGTTTTTTGTTGTTACTAAAAACAGATATTTCTTTTTCGTTTCTTGTTCTTCTTTTTCTCTTCTAAATAGGTATTCTAAGGCGAATCTGTCAGAACTGCCCATTTATTATTATTATTCCTTCTATAAGGTCGCTGTGGCTTGCGCGGAGGAGTTTTTACACCATAGTCACACCATTTTCATCCATGTTCCATATTTCAATTTTTTCAAAAAAACTGTTGACATTTTGTGGATTAAAACTGGTGGCTCGAGCCAAACTAGTGGATTCAGGTCTTCTAATGGACAGAGAAGGATGTCTCTTCGTAAACGACTTAAGCCAATTGGGGCCAGCTACCTTGTTTGATTCCCAAGAGTGTGGACCTTTCAACTTATTGAAGACAGCAAGGTCGTACGCTATTATATAGCAAAATTCAAAAAAGCCAGCAGACATGCATTGTCTCATGACAGGTTGTCTCAGTTTAACGAGAGCTTGGTTGTCACCAGCCCTCGTTAAACTGAGACAACCTACCCCAAAACATATTTTAAAAATTAACCCTAAAAATAATTCTAAATCGGTGTATATTTACAAAACTATATAAAAATATCGTGGGCCATATATTTAACTTAAATAATACATGAAAAGGTATTTTACAATGCATAATTTAGGCATACTTACAAGGATCGACACAGATGCACAAAAAATTACTTTCAGTGTGAATAAAAAACAAACGCACGTTTCTCCGTCACGGCGTTTCGGAGAGAACCAAAGTTAAGTGGGGAGGGAGGTGATGCCTTCGCGATTCTTTGACTCCGATCACCTTTCGTATTCGTTCATTAATTTTTTTGTTATGACCACTGTGACAACCAACCCGTGAGACAACCATAGCCGGTCTCTCCTACTACCTAATACGTACTTTTCTAATTAGTGCCCTAAAATGATATTAAATCGTTTTTATGATCTATCCTTTTTACTTTACCCTCCCGCAGACTGCCATGAAGCAAGATCCTGTAGAGCCATCTATATACATCGACTTCCTGCATACCGTCGGATTTCCGAATAACTAAAAAAATAATAAGTTAATTTAATTTCCAAAAGTTTGTTTAACTCGGACAAGACGGTGAAATGGGTTTATTTATAATGATGTCTTATTTTAGGTAAGAGAAAAACGGTGAAATAAGTCTACATAATGATGTCTTATTTTAGGGTGGTGTTAAAAATGTATTTACAAGTTTATTTATTTATTTAAATTTAATTATTTTACACCTCATAAGCATTCTCTTCAGTCAACCCTGGGATTAGTGAAAATTTGACGTAGGTGCAAAACAAAATCCAAGATTCAATTTTTATTAAAAGAAAAGCACAAAAAAGGTACACATTATATAAATACTAGCTGACCCGGCAAACGTTGTTTTGCCATATAAATTAGTTGTAGGGTAGAAAAAATGTTTGGGGTGGTCCACCCTTAACATTTAGGGGGATTAAAAATAGATTTTGACCAATTCTCCACCCTGGCCGATATGCACAAACAATTTCACGAAAATCGGTCGAGCCGTTTCGGAGGAGTTCAATTACAAACACCGTGACACGAGAATTTAATATATTAGATACTAAAATTTAAGGGAAATTACTCACTGGTAAAGCGGTTTTATGGATTTTTCACTCTCAATTTTAAAGACAGAGGTTCTACATAGTGATAAAGTCCTTTTTATGATATTACTAAAAACTGAAGATGGTTTTAATATACCTGGATTTCATATAAGGACACCGTTTAAGATAGTACCTACATACCTGCGTCATTATAGTTTGTTATTAAAACATTGCGGAAGGTATGTTATGTACTTTAAATATAATTATTTGATAAAATAAAAAGTAATTTTGGATTTTTTTTTAATTTAAAGTATTGCTCTTACTGTTACTGTAGGATAAAATTATCCGGTTTTGGAAGGACGTATGTATTATATGAATAAATTTCACGTGGCCAAACACCCAGATCCGAAAAAATTATGGGTGGGACCCCAAATAGTTGTCCGGTGTGGGAATCGAACCCACGACGCCGAAGCCAATACCCTGGCAACTGCGCCACGGAGTCATTAAAATTGTAAAGCTGACGAAATCTAATATCAACGATAAGGTCGGGCTGGCTACACAGGAGAAGTGAAGAATGAAGACCATGGTCCCACTAAAAGCCATAAAGAAGAAGCAACCCTTCAGCGTTTCATCAATACGTTGCCCCTTTAAAAAAGGCTCGGTTACTTCCACTTCACGAAGGTGATATTTCGCCGAATGCGCCAGCCCCTCCTTGCAAATGTAATAAACGCAAAATATTGTACATTTTATTATATACTTTGCTTCTAAATCTAAAGCACCTGAAAGGATCGAAATGAAATTCTTTTGGTATAGGTACGCGTAAAATTTTGAATTTTGTAAAAAGTTAACTATTACATTAAAAACTCAAATGGGCAGAAGCTATCTTTAAAGTTATAAAGCTACACGAGCGAAACTTTTAAGTGTGTTAATATAAGAGTACCTATTTTTAAATTTTCATCCATTTCCAGAGATTCTGAAGATACGGTATTTTTTAGAATAGTTTTATTTGTATCGGTGTTTTGACCCAACTGCTGATGGAATATTAATGTTGTCGCCTGGATTATTCGCTACAAATCTATAATTTTATCTTCAATTTATTTGTGTGCTGTTACCGTATACATAGGACGCACGTAATTACCTAATTAATAAACGAAGTCGTTATAGTCTTTGCTTTAAACAGATAAATTATCCATTAGGAGTACAAGCGGAGGTCCATGCTGCGCGACAGTCAGACCGAAACTGAGATGTGCTTGCTGCGGGCAGCGTCCGCAGCGTCCGTGGCTAGTGGCGCCACGGACCGAAGCGGAAATACGGACAACTGCGTCGAGGAATATGTCTGCGACGTACCTTTCGCCGGTGAGTTCGTAGCAAATGTTATAACTATAGATTTATATTTTTTTGTTATTTCTTATTTAACTATTGTTTAATATTAATTAATTATTATATTAACAAAAAGAAACATTAAATCAAATTACCACTACAAACTCTCAGCTGTAACCGAACGGATTTACATTAATAGTGCAATACATAAAGCTGCTTTAATCTTTACTGTCGCACGATAATATAAAAGTCATACGCACGCCTGTGTTAAGTGGTACTAGAAAGTACAAAGAATGGTCCTTGGAAAGAGTTCCTACTGGTGGATCTCTATATGGTGATAAACGTCTACATCGGCCCAGTCGGGGATAAGGAAGAACGAACGTATGACCTACTTAAATAATTTAATAAATACTACCATCTCAAAGAGATGCCTACAGTGCTAAGAGCCGTGATAGCTCAGTGTGCGCTCGCCTTTAATTCAATGTACACGAGCAACCTGAGTTTGATCCCCGGTGCTGGCACCAATGAAACTGTTAATTTTAAGTGAATTAAAACGTGCTCAGCGGTGAAGGAAAAATCGTGAGGAAATCAGTATATTTTCGAAATAATTAACATAAAAAAATCTCTGGAAGATATGTGAACCACATATCTTCCAGAAAGTCCGCCAAACCACAGTGGGGCCGCGTGGTGGACTATGCCCTGTTACCCTCTGTACAGAGGATGTCCGATGCCTTTGCCCAGCAGTGGGACATAAATAGGTTGATACTTATTTTACTTCACTTTACCAACTCAAATACCTGGTTAATAACACATGTAAATATACCTCGTCAACGAACACGGTCAGGCCACACCACTGGATACTCTACTCGTTTAGGCGGTCCTCACAGTTGTCCATAAAGCATTTGAACCTCGAACCTTCCACCCGTTTCGACACTTAACCGTCATTAAAGTCAAAATGCTCATATAGACATGACTTTAAATGTAATTTTTAGAGTTCATTTAGCCCGCGAAATCGTCAGCATTTTTCGAAAATGACGGGTTGAAAACGAATACGTATACGGCATATTTTTAACTGAGCATATTATTTAACTGACTCGGTGGCTAAGCCATTAGTTGATCGGGTTTGATTCCCAAACGGGACAAGTATTTGTTTAACACAGCGATTTGGATATTGGTGTTTGTTCCCAAGGAGCGTCAGGTAGGTGGCCGGGCGTAAAACCCCAGCCAATACCAACATATTTCAAATGTGTCGACCCCACAGGACAGAAGTATGATGGACAAGACTTACTGTTATCTCACATTTAACAGTATCAATGTGAATAATTTTGCATGAAATCTCTCAGCACGTCATAAGACTTGTATAGGAGGACCCACACAGCATCAAGTCCGTGTAGTGTGTCAATATTCTATTTTGAAACGCAAATATGATGGAATAGATAAATAACTACGTGCAATTTTTACGCAATTTATTAAACCCCTCTTGTCCCGGACAATTTTTAAGATACACATATAAAAAGTATGTATACTTTTACTAAATCTTAACAAGTTATTACAAAATTTTTATTTTTATTTTGTAACTAAAAGCAAATATATAATATTATTATATATTAAGCAACATAAATAATATTGAGCGGTCAGATTATTGATTGTTAATTTGTTGCTAAAAGCAGTTTATGATAATAAAAATTCACCGTTCTCTCCTTGGACTCTTAAATTATTCGCTTAACGAGGTCACAACTTGGTGAATATGTGTGTTTCATATTTAATGTTTACTAATAACGTTTCGCCTAACGCAACACGCCATTAAGTTTTTTTATAACCAATCAATCTCTATGAAGATAGACCGCTATTAGCAATAAGCATTGCAGTGAGCAATTACGAACCGTGAGAGCATGAATGCAACCAATTAATGATTTACGTTTGTTGATTCAGCCAACACGATCAGTGGTCCCTTAACCTTTACGTTACGAAAAGTTATACTGTACCGTTTTTAATCAGTGAGCATTGGTAAGTTATTGAGGTTGTGTTAATTTGGCGCGTAACCGTTGTGTGGTTAAATAACTAACGCCACGTCAATGATTTAGATATTATTACATCATATTCGGTGATAAAATTTACAGGTTGATTTTGTAATAAAAAAGAGCTGTGGTAAGTCGTTATACCTGAGCAATCTTGCGTTTCTCGGGATAACTGTTCAAATCCTAATACAAATGTTTTAATATCTTTGGTAGAGCCATGCAAAAGTACACTGTTGCCCGAATGGGCAGGTCCGTCCGGGGAAGTACCACGACCTCACAGAAAACCGGCAACAAGTAAAGGAACTAGAATACTAGTAGTACTTCTCCGTTTCGTCTGGTGAATGAGGTAACCGGGATCCACTTTAATAAAGTGGCAACAAGTTTACCAGCTGCTCAACGGTAAACAAAAGAAAACACTAATGAAACTTACATAATATACTAGAAATAATAGAAAGTGTAGAAGAAATAATAGATATGTATATTTTGCTAATCCGCTATGAAGCCCCGTGTTTGGTTATACCCAAATATGTTCTGTAATGAGATAACATAATTATATACACTGTGACTAAATTATTTTTTTTCATTAATTTTTTCTCTTGATGATATCTCAACTATCAATATCTATCTATATCTATATCTCATAAATATGGTGAATTGTGGTATTCTGATGTATAAGCTAAATTATTGTAAAGTTTCATTAGAATCCATTCAGTAGTATTTGCGTGAAAGAGGAACAAACGAATGGATGGATATCCATACATACAAACTTTCGCGTTTATAATATTAATAAGGATGTCTACAGGAGGGTTAGCGCAATAATTGTGTAGAAACCTTATGAAACTTAAAAAAAAATTGTATTGCCTCAACTTATTTAACTTTGTGCTCATATCAGGCGTATGTATGCTTGTAATGCGTGACTGGGCGTCGTCTATCAGCTGTGGATACAATGTAAGAGTCTGACCTCTGAAGGTCATCCACTGTTCGAAAATAGGGTTGATAGGGACCGCCCAGAGACGTGATGTGGTATTATTGACGATTGCTAAGGTGTCTCCTAGGCTATCTACTTTTAAACTGGAAGTATAAATTTTAAACATTTATATCGCATTTTATGCCGCCAAGAGGTTTTATTAGAAGCTCTTCCTACCGATAATTTGATCTTTAAATAATAAATTTACTTATGTATTATGTTATCATGTATTATCATTTTTAATGAACAAAGAATTTAAGATAATTCATACTTGATGTCCCTTAAAATTGCATTTAATAAATTTTAAAACTTAATCTACAAATAGGTGTTCAAGGGAGAAAAAGAAATATATAGTCATATTTATTCAAAATATACGATACAATAAAATCAATATAAAATTTCCGTTGCCCTTTTAAACGTCGACTGTCATTTATTAAACGCATTTAAAGAGAAAAAGTCACCACGAACGTTTCGCGGCAAAAGCGCTTTACAGTTTCGCGAAAATGAAACCAATCAAATATTGGTAAAATATTTGATCGCGGGATTTTCGGGCAGCGACGTGTTTGCAGAGCGGCCGTTGGCGCGCTTTGTCACCATGTTTGTGACGCAAACAATGGAAGAATCTGGAAATATATATATCGATTTCACAGAAAAATGTGCACTTTAACTACCGGGAAAATCGGGTAATCGTACCGAGTACATACCTGTTTGGTTTCATGTCTTCGATGTATATTCTTTTATTTGTTAACATACCTGTGTTTGTTGTTGAAACTAAATAAATATTCATTCATTAATTCATTCACTTTACCATACTGATACTGATATAATGCATGATACTGTGATAATGCATTTTTTCTGCGATTAGCTGTTTTAGTATGGGATCGCTTGAACTTGTCTTAATTGGTAAACGGTGGTAAACGGTGGTAGGGCCACGCAACAGTGTTCGCTGTTGCACGAATGGGCAGGTCCGTCCGGGTTAGTACCACGACCTCACAGAAGATCGGCGTAAAGTAGAAGTGTTGCACTTCTGCGTTTCGTCTGGAGAGTGAGGTAGCCGGGGCCCACATTATTAAGAGGTGGCAACGCATCTGCAACCCTACGGGTGTTGCAAATGTCCAAGGGCAGGCGGTTATCACTTAACAACACGTGAACCGCCAGCTCGTTTGCCACTTTATCACATAAAAGAAAAAAAAATTGGTGAAAAACCAATTCCTTCTGTGAATTTTATATGTGTCTATAAGCTGGCGCGTAAGCTCTGATGAGAAGTGACCTTTCGTCGGCGTTGTGGCTACCCAATGGGTGGGTTGGTTCCTGTTACCTCACCAGTAGAAATGAAAAAGTATAAGCAGCTTTCTTTAGCATTTATACAATAGCAGAAACTTGCAGGGCTCAAATAGCTCAATCTCAGCGGTCCGTAGTCGACAATCCCCTCGTTTTGTTACGGCACCTATGTTGTTGTATATCGTTTTGCGTGACTCTAATTAAATAAGGTCTTAAAACTCTCATGAACATAGCCTTTCCACAACCTCTGTGCTCGATTGAGCTTTACATAGTCTATGGACTAAAGCGTAAACATCCTTAAACCAAAAAATTGTGTTTCTCATATGTTTTCTTCACCACGTTAAAATATACCTGTAATGTTTACAGATAATGCTGGTTTTAACGGCCAAAACTCGTCCGTGATATTAAACTGCGTTGGAAACCAAGTTATAATAAATTCTATATACTGTCTTTTGGCGCGTAAACGTAACGTTAACCTGTTCCGTTCTAATACGTCCGTAGAAAGACGGTCCTTGTATGCACTGAGCTTTGACCCGAAGCACAAATATTAAGCGTACAATTGTTCACGCCTCACAATAATTTGATAGACGCGATAACAACCTTATTAGCTTGGTCTGCAGCTAAAATGCTGCTTCGACAGCAAATAAATGTTCCGTCTAAAACGTGGAAGAGTCGTTCAGTGCGAAACTCAAGTAGAATGCAACATTTTATCAAAGCACACATCATGTTACTTTTTTGTTTATTAGAAAAAAAGTTGACAAAGGAAAAACAGATCACCCGACGGATGGTTACCGACGACCATTGATTTATCACACCCGTGAGGTTGTACTGCCTTGGCCACTTTTAGGAGGGTGTGCCTTCTGTTAGCTCACAAATCATAAGCAAAAGTGTACATTCTTATGTTTTGACGGTCCCATTGTGTGTTGCGGATAGTGTGACTGCCGGTTGTGCCAAATAATGTGGGTTATATCCCTACCGGAAAAATAAAGTGCGCGAAAGTACCTAGTATCTAGATTATATATATCCACAATATGTATTTATTTACGGAGAAAATGAATGTTTATATACCTAGTACGTATAGTACGAGTACAAGCTTTGCGTAGTTTGTGACTGGATAGGAGCAAAATTATATCTCTGTAAGACTATTAATTCTATTATCGTGCTGACCTATCTGAAAAACTAATGGTCTGTTAAGAATTAAAACATATCGTTTTAGAGAATTGACTATTATTTCGATAATGTCAGACCTGAAATCGATTTTAAAACAATAAATGTGGTGCATTTAAATTGAATGCAGCATTCTAATGTCCACAATCGTATAATGTCCATAAGAGAACAAAAAAAAGAATTTTTATTACGCTATACCGTGTTGCGTGCCATTAAAGGTACCTCCGAGTACAGTTATCGTGATTGTTGCAGTTCAACATAAACCTGAAGTCATTAAGCGCTTTTGTAACTTTATGTGTACATTCCTGGAACATGAGCACATAAATTTGAACTTCATTGCAACTTCTATCGACCGAATACCCAAATGTGTGGTAAACTGTTTTAACTGTGGTAGGGCCACGCCACAGCCAAGTTAGATAGGTCCGTCCGGTTTGTCCACGAACTCACAGAAGACCGACGTGAAGTGGAAGTGTTATACTTTTGAGTTTCGTCTGGTGAGTGAGGTAGCCGGGGCCCACTTTGTTAAAAGGTGGCAACGCATCTGCGGGTGTTGCAAATATCCATGGACGGCGGGTATCAATTAACATCAGATGAACTGCCAGCTCGCTCGCCACCTTCTCACATAAAAAAGAAACAAATTTTACTCTCTTATTTATCTGTTGGTCACACAAATACCTGGGGCGCGTGGGAATCGAACCCACGACCCGCGATTCAAAAGCCAACACTTCAGATGCCACGCCAACGAGGCTTTTAATCGCCATAGCACTTGATAGATCACATGATAGTTGATAATTGTACGGCGAAGTATAAACTTGAACTTAAAACCAGCGTTTTAAGTGAGGTACAAAGACGAAATATTTAAGTTTTAT